CTCCATATCAATTGTTTGTGACCGCCATTTTGTGTACAAGTTGTGTACAACTTGTGTACTCCATGCAATTTTGAAACAATATTGAAGAGTTTTTATAAGCCAAATGTTGATATTGTGCTGGATCATAAGAGCATCTTCAATGCTAAAACGTTAACGGTGCATACGTGGCATGAGAAATAACCAATTAAAAAATAATAAATACAATCTCTCTCTCCTTCTTTCCACGGTCTTATGTGTTTATGGTAAGTTTTTGTCTGCAATGTCAATCACAATGTCTACATCTAGACATTGTGTTTGACATTGTGAAGAAAAACTTACCAAAATGATGTAAGATCCTTCAAATAAGGAGAGAGATATTGTATTTATTGTTTTTTAATTGGTTATTTTCTATGCCACGTATGCACTGTTAACGTTTTAGCATTGGAGATGCTCTAAGGTACAATCAAGTTTTGTAAGAAGGGAATTGAAGCCCTCATACCGTAAGCGAGGTTACACGTACACTTACACTTCACGCATGTTGTTGTCTGTACCAGGGGCGGAGCTAGAGCACTAGGCCGGACTGGTCCGATACAAATAATATTTTTTGAAAATTTTTTACACGGAATTTTTTAAACTAAAAATACAGGTATTTTTAAAATTTGGGCTGGGCCAGGGCCAGGGATGGCCCTCCCCTAGCTCCGCCCATGGTCTGTACCCACCCGAGTGACTAAGTGACTTTAAGATATAAACCCATTTTATGTACAAATATTTTCGGATATTTTATGTATCTTTTTGGGATTGTATCTCTTGCCCAGCACTATAAAATCCCCAGTAGGATGCCTGCATTTTATACATAACAAACATCCGAGAATTAAATCAAGGTTTTGTCTTCTTCAAGACTTCAACTGAACTCTACCATGCACTCCATGCTTATGCATCGTTTTTTCGCCAGAATCTTTCAAGAACGAATATGATTCTCTCCTTGGAGACAATTGTTACGGGCAAATTTGTCTTACGTAAACAACAAACATTTGTTGGGCTTGATTTTATGGTCCTTCCTTACGCTTCGTCTTCTTCCAAGATACGCGAACAACATATACCTAGACGAATAGTTTAAAGAAGGGAAAACTGTCAAATTTGATCCTCGTATCATCGCAAAAAAGTCAGTTGTGTCCCCGTACTTTAAAAAAAACAATCAAGTCCCCGAACTTAGTAAAAATGTTCAATTGAGTTCATTTGGAGGTTACTTATCATGTCAGCGGGTCACCCGCTGACGTGGCGCATACGTGACGGTCCACGTGTGCACCGTGTCATCAGCAAATGACTGACTGTACTTCCACATGTGTGTCACGCCAACAAAGTCACTGCTGATTGGACGGTCACATATGTGCCACGTCAGCGGGTGACGTGCTGACATGACAAGTAACCTCCAAATGAACTCAATTGAACAATTTTACTAATTAAATTTGGGGACTTGATTGACTTTTTTATAAGTACAAGGATCTAATTGATTTTTTCGTGATAGTGCGAGAACCAAATTGACAATTAACGAATTTTAGTAGAGTTTTTGAAAGACAAGAGCATTTTTTTGGAAGTTAGACAATAAACAGGATGCACTCAATTTGTAATCTCCAAGAGAATGCGCTCGAAAAGTTAAGCACACGACTTATTAATAGCGGCCCTATTTGATAATCCAATTTCAACTTACCAATCTTAGGATTTCTTATGATTCATGATTTCCTACGCTAAATTACGTAATAACCGAAATAAGTAAGTTTTGAATCATTTTTCTTGCTAAATTAACTAAAGTTGTATGCTTTGGCAAAAGGTTTGGAGTTTGGACTTTGGAGATCCATGCCTATGGATTATATGATGAAAAGTTTGGGTCCATGCCTAGATCGACCAACCACGATTATGGGTTGGGGTTCATCTTGTATAGGATAATATGCTTTGCAAAGAGGTTCACCTCACTTTTACACCAATACCGATTAGACGAACACAAGCAAACAAGAGCACTATAAGCAAAAGTTAGAGTATTCGAGTGAAAGTTGAGAAGTACTTCTCATGCTCTAATTTACTTCTAGAAACAGTTTTTTAGAAGCTTAGAGAGACTCACTTCTGAAAATTAGGGGTGGACTCGGGCCGGGCCAACCGGCCCGGAACCGGACCGGCCCGCTACTGTGCGGGCCCGGACCGACCCGGTCAACCGGTTGGTCAACCGGTTCGGGCCACCCGGCCCGGAGGGATACCGGTTCGGGCTCGGGCCCTGATTTTGGCGAACCGGCCCGGCCGGTTCGGGCCCGGTCCGGGCCGGATTTTTTTTTTTTTTTTTTTTTTTGAAATTTTTTTAAATTTTGGGTTGGATTAGGTATTTTGGGCCATTTGAGATGGTTTGGGGTAGTTTGTGGTTGAGGGGGAGGGGTAGGGGGTTAAAAATGAGAACCAAAAAAAAAAAAAATAAGTTGGGCGGTTCGGCCCGGCCCGGCCCGGCCCGGCCCGGTTTGGCCCGGAACCGAAACCGGAACCGCCCACCGGCGGTTCGGGCCCGGGCCCTATTTTTCTGGCCCGAGGCCCGGCCGGGCCCAGGCCCGAACCGGGCCCGAACCGGCCCGAGTCCACCACTACTGAAAATTGATACTAATTCTACTTTAAAAAAGATGCAAAAACAAAATCAATTTCAACCACCCCATAGAGGCATAGACTACGTAGACAGAAATTTAGCCCAATAAACTTGAATTAATGTCTTACGGACAACCAAAAAACTAAAGTCAATCATTTCATTGGTTACCTTGTTATAAAAAGTAAGAATTGAATTCAACTCCGGCAACATTGGCTACATTATTAAAAGCACACCTTACTTCCACACACACACCAATGGTTCGAATTAACAAGGGAAAGGATTTAGATATTTAGGATAGGATGACCCAATGCCAAACCGGAAACTAGGGCTGCGCAAATCGATTTACGGTTCGGTTTTTATCGAGTTCGGTTCGGTTTCAAGTTGTTCGGTTTGACAAAAAATGTACTTCAATTTGGTTTGGATTCGGTTCGGTTTGATGTTCGGTTTATAAAGTTAAAAAAATAATGTATAATTTCATATTTTTAAGTCAACATTTACTAATTTGAAATGGCTTATTTTAGTTTAAATCCAAACCAAATAAACTAAAACAAAAAAATAAAATCAAAACAGAGTTTTTTGGTGTTGTGTCTAAAATAGCAATGGTGTACAAGCAATGTGCCAACATAAATAAAATATAAGTAGTGATTTACATATGTGCAATGAGCAAATTAGCAATGATTTAAATGGTTAATAGAAGTGAGTGGGGGCTTAAGAGTTTGGGCAGTTATGTTTCACTCCAAATCACCAAGTTACTAAACCTACAACCTCCCTAATATTTACATATAATGGACAAACACATTATCGTATTTCACTGGTACAACCAAACTTACAATCTCCATAATGCACACATATAAGAGACAAACATTCAGTTTGAACAAATGTTTTCCAAACAATTTACTTAAGTAAACCCCAACCAAACCAAACCACCAATTTTAATAATATATGAATGTTTTTTTGAGTTTCTTTGGTTCGGTTCGATTTAATACGATTTGAAAGAAATACTAACAAACTCAAACCAAATTGCATAAGGTTCTATTTAGTTCAGTTTGGTACGATTCGGTTCGATTAAACCAAACCGTTATGCCCTCCCCTACCGGAAACCAACCACTCAAATCGGAAATTCAAAGCCAACCGATCTATTTGCGACCGATTTTTAGTGCGAGACTATGAGCTTAATAAAACCATACCCATTGACCCATTGTATTCAGCTCTAAACAGCTCCTAACTAGTTAAAAAGCCCCACTGTACCAATAGTGCTAAAATTCTTAAAATGTACACATTTTGTACTCCCGTGCTTGAACAAACGGCACCAAAGGCATTTTGTGGAGATAAGAAAACAGTATGGTACAAAAGAATGAAAGGTGAGGAAGAGTATGAAAGAAGGTAAATATTATGGCTAAAATTCTCAAAAAAGGAAATGGATATAATAAAAAGTAATCAAGCACTTCAATAAAAGAGAAGAGAAGTCTGCATATCAAGAACCGAGAGCGTATAAACTAAGAAAATACACCATGTCACTATGTCAGATTAATAGGGATATAATTAAAAATTCATCACAATTATTTGCAGACTTGTATCTTATTTGTGTTCGGAAAATAAGGCATACTCCGGCCTCCAGGCGTATTTTTTAAAACTAGTCACAAATCAGCCCTAGTACAATGTGACTTCACTCTAAAGTATAAAGCAGACTGGCCCAGATACATAGGGCATCCTTTCAATTTCAAGTCAATACGAACAAGATGCTAACCTATTGTCTTATGGGCTTAAATGAACCAGTCATTATTGCCCCTATAATAGATATATGGGGTTGGGCCAAACAGGAAAACAGAACACATATAGTAAAGTAGAGGGAAAAGGGGCAAATAAGCCCTCGAACTAATAAAAAAAGTGCAAATAAGCCCTTTTGTAGGCGGTTCTGTCCGATCATCATCATTTAGGGAGTTTCTCGGTGGAATTTTTTGATAAATTTTTTTGAGCATCTTCTTCATTAAGTCTAGTTTAGCCATACCAAATTTCAGTTAAAAATTCAACCGGGAAGACAGTCAAATGATTTTCGGAAATATACTGCGTTGTTTAACTGCGCATTTATCTTCAAAAATTCATTTGACTGTCTTCCCGATTGAATTTTTAGCTGAAATTCGGTATGACTAAACTAGACTTAATGAATAACATGCTCAAAAAATTTCATCAAAAAATTCCACCAAGAACCTCCCCAAATGACGATGGCCGGACGGAACCTCCTACAAAAGGGCTTATTTGCACTTTTTTGATTAGTTCGAGGGCTTATTTGCCCCTTTTCCCTAAAGTAGATCAATTAATCACTTGTTAAAATCATACGAAGTACTCCTATCAATTTACAAAATAGAGCAAGGAGATCTAAATTAAGCAAATCACGACAAGCATGAGCAAAAAAGATTATATGAATAACAAACCACCAATATAAAAACATTTTTTCAAAGACCATAACAAAGGTGTTGCCACAAAAGTCTAATACCATACCGATGTTAATGGCAGTCAAGAAAATACTATTGAAACAAAACATTCTTACCAAATGATATGCTCACAACGTAGTCACCAAAATTCAGTTTTTGTAGCTGTTTCAGCACATCTATCTCAGGAATGAAAATTCAAGCACTTTAAACTAATAATTCAATGGTGTCTAGAGATTGAAAGGTGTAATTCAACCTCTTAATCTTCATCCTCCGCCTCATTTTCAGCAATGTTGAAGTATCTCAATTCATACACATTTTTATCCTTGTTTGAGGATATAACACGCAGCCAATCTCGCACACTGTTCTTCTTCAGATACTTCTTTGTTAAGTATTTCAAATACCTGTGCAACATTATCAAAAATCAATTAATCAATACAAGAAAAGTAAAAAATTATGTAATGGAATACGGAGTAGGAAACATTGTAGGAATAGGAAATCTGAAAAATTCTTTACATCCAGGGCATGTTTGGTTAGGGAATTTTAGAGGTACAGATGAGTAGGATTATTTTATGATATACAGGTTTACATTTACTTATGTCTTATGCTTAATGAGTGTTCAAATTTGCCTGTTTTGTTGGAAAGTTGTTTACTTTAGAGAGTAAATGGAAAAGGCTTGGCAGGTTTGGCCGTACAAGTTAGTAGTGTTTAAGAGAAAAGTGATTCTTTAAAGCACAAAGTTATTTGGTGAAATAGTACTTTTGCCTTTACAAAAAAATGTGCAGTTTTATCATTTTATGCCTCCTACTCTTTACTTACAAATGCCGAATTAAGCATATGAGCCTGCTTGAAAACCCATTTTGAACTTTATAAAGAAAAACTATAAATCACTTTTTGAAACAAAGGAGGCGCACCCTAACTGCCAAGGCATTTGGTAGCAATGAATAATTTATGAATAGTTATGTTAAAGAGGTTGATGTACTTTTAACCATAGTTACATAAATCGCTGGGAAGGTCACGATCTGCGAACCGAACGCTCCGTACCGAATCGCGGTACGAAAGCGATCCGGTCGCCACCTGGAATGCTAAACAGAACGTACTTCAACTCAATCCCAATCGCTTTTAGAAACGATCTTATTCGCTGTTCGCATCGATTTCAAATGCTTTCAAACTCGATCGAAAACGAATCTCAGGTCATTCCTCAACTGTTTCCCCAGCGAACCCGTTTGTGAAGGTCGTTTCCCAAATTGAATCGTCGTTTGAAGACGAACGCGCAGATTTGAAATACGGTATTATTTGTACAGGTCGGCGGCTCTGCGCTTCGTTTTCTGGAATATTAATTAATGTTTTCAAACCAGGCTCTTCGTTTCTACTAACAGGCACTACTAATTTGTTCTAATAGGTTTACGGAATATCAAACTAGGCTCTTCATTTTCTGGAATATTAATTAATGTTTTCAAACCAGGCTCTTCGTTTCTACTAACGGGCGCTACTAATTTGTTCTAATAGGCATACGGAATATCAAACCAGGCTCTTCATTTCTAGAATATTAATTTGGATTATTATTGTTTTTTTAATTTTGTTTAATGTTATGACTTATGCTTATTAAATCTGTTTTTGTCTAATCTATGATTTATAAAATCTGTAATTCAGTTTTATTAAAGTACCAAAATATAAGGTACACTGTACCGAACATGTACGGTGTACCGAACGCGTACCGGAATGAGCCTACCCTCCTCCGAACCGGATACGCTAGACCTAGCGAACCGCGTTCCCGATCCTCGTTCCCGTACCGAATCGTTCTGCGAACTATGTGACTATGCTTTTAACTTTAATTTTTTTAACTACCTAATGATCAAAAGTACTTCCTCTGTTCTTTAATAGTTGCAACATTGTGATTTTTAAACTATTCACACACCTTAATTTGATCATGATCTTCTACTAATGTATATTATCAAATTATTATGTATAAAATAATATTAAAATTTTATTTATGTAAATTTCCCAAAAAAAAATAAATTTTTATAATGTTTACTACGGAGTAATATGTAATTAAATGTAATTTGTGTGTTGGAAAACGTGAAAGTCAAACTATTGTAAATAGTAGAACAAAAATATCTCACTAGCCTCCTAAATACCCCACCCAAACACACCCTTAAGGGAGTGACAAGTAAAATCAACAATGGCAACATGCTCCCAAGACAGTTCTTAGCGTTTAGGAAAATCTAGAAAGTAATTTATTCATTCCTTTTACAGAGCATCATCTATTAAAAGTTCTTTAAGTTGAGACTTGAGAACAAACACACCCAATGAATTTAGGCATATAATTCATAAAATTATTCACTACAAAATTGTTCAATGTGTAATGATAACTATTACTCAGTAATATAAATTCAGTTTCCAATAATTTACAAAAAAGTTTATTATGACAAATATTACTACTTACTAGTACATATCAACTCAATGTCTATCTATTAAGTACAGAGTACTAAACTAATGTGATACTTCGCAGTTCAGATCAACTCAATTTTTTAGAACTAAATACCACCATATCAAACATAATAGCTGAAATTCTTTACGCCTCTGGTAAGTGGAAAAGACACTAGTATGAGACATTTAGTAATAAACCTTGTATAGCAACAATTCACTTCATAGTTGCTGTCATCAAGCATTCAGAGTGCTATATACCAGCAAATAAGCAGTGTGAAGTATTCTATAGCAAGTTAACAGATATAAAATGAAAAGTTTCTAGAAAAGTAACGTGAGAAGATTTACAGATCAGTAATGGATTACCGCTTGGAAAAGTTGGAGTCTGCCGTGACGGTAATTTTGGTTTTATCTCGGGTGATGGTAACTGAGTCTCCTAGCGCTCCGGCCTTACCGCCGACCTTGATTCGCTCCTGGAGGAACTGCTCCAGAGAGGCGATATCCATGATTTTGTCATCCACCGGCTTCGAGCAGTCGATGACGAAGGTCACACCCTTCTTCTTCCCACCTTTAGTGGCGGCTCCGCTGCTTCCTTTACTCATTTTCTCCCTTTCCTGGGCCAACTGCTTCGCGTTTGATAGGGGAGCTAGAATTAGGTTTTTGAGCGGAAAGTATATAAACATACGAGTTTAAAGAAAAATGTCTCGGGCTTCTGCGATACACAGTTAGCCCATTGGGTGGTAAACATCAAGACGGGGGGCCCAAAGTTGCTTAAGACTGGGCCATGACCTGGTAATAATTCTTAGAGTAATTCTATTCACAACCACCTATTTGCTAAGCCCAACACAACCTCCCGGAATTCTAGTCTCCTGCGACACCGTCTTCTCTACCATGGTGGATAGCGAAATCTGGACTGTCAACTGCCCAAATCTTGAGCAACAGAAAGATGAACTGAAATTACTTCCAAATTGCAATATCTTTGTTAACTTGAATGGATTTCCTAAGCTAATGGATATGTACATAGTTGACAAAATCACAGGATGGAGAAGCCCACTGCAATTGTTGTCAGCTCTGCTCCACCTTCCGCTTATCATACACCATTTTGCATATCATTTTCCAGAATTTGCACAGTCAACTTAGCTTATCATTGAAATTATTTTTAGTGTTACTCAAATCTGAGCTTTTTAGCGGTTGCAGGTTGATTCAGCAGGAAGCGTAATGAATGGCGAGGGTTGTTCGTTGACGTCGTTAATGGCGGTCAACGATATCGCGACGACGGATTCTAACTGCATAATTTTTGAAAAATACAGGCTGGGGAAGGTGCCTGGTTGTGGGGCTTTTGCAAAGCTGCTTCGAAGGTCCTTGCCACGAAGAAAAAGATCTATTTACTGGGGAGGTTGTGAGCTGCGGATTATTGTATTAAGAACATAAGAGGAATTATAAAAAATATGTGGCTGTACCTAGTAAATACTGAGTAAGTGGCTGTGAATAGAATCTCCCTAATCCTGAGAAGAAAATGGATTTAAAAAAGTAATTATATTCACAGTCCCCATTTTGCTATTCATAGCATCCAATTAATTATTAATTAATAGAAAGATATCATTAAGAAATAGTTTGACCCTTCATATTTATACACTAAAATAGTATAATAAATTTATAATAATTCTCCACAGTTTGTTTATTAATTCTATATACAGCTATCAAATTAAATATTACAAATCATGTTTTTTAAAATATCTAATGTGCATATTAAGTAATAGAAATAATTACATTTTTATAACTAAAATAAAGATTATTTACACAAATGTGACCAGTGATTAGAGTAGTTATGAAGTAATAGTGACTTATGTTCAAGTTTGAAATTGTTATCATGATACTAGAATGTAGTAACTATTAGTCATATTTGTGTAGATAAATTTTATTTTAGTAATATTTTTCAAAAAATCTCTAAGTAATAAAGTGTACATTCTTTCGCTACACTCAACACATATCCAATATTTAATATATTTAATATACTCACATTTGTGATCTTTTTTAACAACGATTTTTTTATACTTTTCATTAATATATTAATTGATTGAAGGAGTGATTAATTAATATATTAAGATTGTGATAACATTGACATATAATTTATATAAAACAATTATTTTCGGTTAGAATTTGTAAAAAATCCCCATATTTTATGATTTTATACATTACTTATGTATTTTTTAGATGGATGAAAAAATGATATACATTAATATATATTATATGGTTGGAGACTTATAACAAAAAAAATATGATTGATGATTTAAATGATTAATATTAATATAAAATGTAGTGATTATTAAAAAAGTGTGGAACAATATAAATTTATAATAATATTTGAGACTATTAATATGAAGGGTTAAATTATTTTTAATGAAGTATTTTTATTAATAATTAATCGATGACTATGAATAGCAAATTGGGGGCTATGAATAGAATTACCCTTAAAATATTACCTTACACATTTCTTGAACCACGAAACGACCAAGAATAGGTTTGGAGATTGGGGAGTAATTAAAAAATATTATTATTACTAAATGTTTTTCTACCTAAAATGTATTAGTATGTTACAAATATAAATAGATATACCTTTATTTGAATATTTATTTAAGAAATTAAAAACATTACTTACCATCAAAGTTAGTTTTTATCAAAAAAGTTATTTGTTTTAGTTAAATGTTCAAATTCGATCGAATACTGCTCCGAACTGGTCTCACTTGAAATAATCCGGTCAGGTCCTAGACCGAGATTAAATAGCTCCGGTCGCAAATCCAATAAATTTGGAAATTTCAGTTCTGATCAATTCGTTTCTAGTTCAATCCAGCTATCTTGGGTCAGCGCTTACCCCGAGCTACGAATATATTCATTTTATGTGGTATAATAATGTACCAATATGTAACATTTCTAAATCTGAGCATGTAGAATGTAATTATTACTGGGTTATTAAACGATTTACATAAAGAAAATATGTGCACATATGACATATATAAAAAAAAACATAAGGAAAAATCCAGAAAAAGTACCTGCAGTTTAGGCTTAGGCTGTTTTCGTACAGGGGCACGTGTTTTATTTTTTAACAAAGTGAGACATGTTCTTCAATTCCGTTATAACAGCTGGAGCATGACGTCTAATGCTATTAAAAAAATTAACACTAATTTTCAAAAGTCTCTGAAAATTAAAAGAAAAGTACTAGGAGGTGCGTCTCGTCAAGAAGACATGTCCGACTATGATAGTCTAGAGGTCCCCTTGACGAGACGCACCTCCGAGTATTTTTCTTTTAATTTTTCAGAACTTTTGAAAATCGAAGTTAATTTTGATACCAGCGTTAGACATGACATCCAGCTGTGATAACGGAATTGAAACACATGTCTCACTTTGTTAAAAAATGAAACACATATCTCTATATGAAAAGGGCCCAAACCACATGTACCTTTTTGTAAATATATGATAAATATTTGCAAACATGTCCTTGTATTTATAAATATTTACAAGTTTTCCACGTGTTTCGTGTACTATATTATTTACAAAATTTGTTTCTCTCATTTCGTTTCTCATATCTATGCTATTTAAGAGGCCGTTTGGAACCATTGTTTTTCGGCTTATCAGGCTTATCAGCCAACTTTTCACCAAACACATAATTTTTGCTTTCGTGCGCTGAATTGTGTAATAAGCAGAAAAAGTAAGGTTGGAGTTACTTTTCTGGCTGTATTGGCTGAAGTTACTGTAGATGACCACTTTAGCCATTTTTACATATAATTTTTTCTTTATTTTATTAATAAAATATATTTTAAAAATATTTATTTCATAAATCAGCAGAATCAGCCAATACAGGTACTTCAGCCAGAACTTCATAAATTTCAGCAGAATCAGCCAAAACAGCCGATTTTCGTGCTACCAAACGGGCTCTAAGTTGGGCATCAAGATTCTAATTAATTCCAGAGATTCTACATAACTATCTTGTTTTCATTTTTTGGTTGTTACAAAAAAAAACTTGTTAAGGTTTTATAAAAAACAATGGGGTTTTGTCAAAAATAATACTCCCTCCGTCCCAAATTGTAAGATACTTTACGGTTTACGATGTTTGACCGATGATAAAGCAATTTGATCCCTGTCAACACTCAAATTAGTTTTAGAAAATAAAATTTACATATTTAGAAACTACATCAAAACCGCTACAAAACCTGCAAAAAATAATTCAAATTTCATAAACTTTTGGTATATAAAGTAAAATATTAAGAGTGATTTATGTTGACCAAGTGAATAGTAAATGTATCATACAATTTGGGACTGAGGGAGTACTAAATGAAAAGTCATGGACAAAAATAAGGCCAAGTTTAAAAGTTTCCAGAAAAGTGACTAACATGACTTTTATACCCTTTCATTAAGTGACATGTCTCCAGTGACTTTGGTCATAGTGACATAATGTCCCAATGACTAATACTCAAGTGACCTCTCATCGTATAAACGCACAGTGACTACCACCGCCAGCTCCGTGACCACCACTGCCAACTCCAGTGACTATAACCATAGTGACCACAGTGACCACCATGATAGTGACTACGTGGCCAGTTACAATTTTGCCGACACAGTGACTACTCTTCAGAACACTCTTCAGTGACCAGAATTAAACTGCCAGTGGCACCACACCATGCCCGCCACCACCGCCACCCCTACCCCCTCCCCTCCACAACCCCCTCCCCATCGCCCAGCCCTTCACAATTGTTGCCCCAGCCCACTCCCCTAACCCCTGCACAATTACTGCCCCACTCTAGCTCCCTGCAATTGTTTCATCCCATCACCACACACTTTCCCCTTACGCCACCTCCCCTGCCCCAGGCCCATCGTAACCCCTCCTCTGTCCCTCACCATAACTGTTGTCACCCTCTTCCAATAACTTTAGCCATCTCAACAATCGATTCGTCCATAACCCTAATAGTTGTCGGTCGCCGCCTTCCTTCAATAACCATACCTGTCGGTTTTGCACCTCAAAATAGAAAGAGAGAAGCCTATTCGAAGAACTGAAGAGCCTAGTCGGTTTTGCACCTCAAGAAGAAGATGCCTAGTCGTTGTGCCTATTCGAAGAGAGAAGCAAAATAGAAAGAAGAAAAAGAGGAGATATCGACACAGGCGTGCCTATTCGACGACGACTCGGGTTGCGGCGGTGGCGGTGGGATGTGATTGGTGGGTGAGATGACGATGGGAGAAGAACATATCAGTTGTTAGAGAAGAATGTGAGTGGCGGTCACCGGATATGAGGAGCGATAAGCGGTTACGACAAAGACAGCGGCGGTGCGTAAGTGCGTTGGAGCGGTTGTACGCCGTCTTCATCGCAAGAGCTGTGCGCCATCTCCAGATCTGAATCTGGTTTGCGTTGCCAACGGATGAGCGGCAGACTCGAGCTCCAGAAGCCTAGAGAATTGGAATTAAAGGATAAGAAATATTAGGGGTATTTGAGACATTCTGCCCTTCATTTAATCACTTATTTGTCTAAAACGGATCTTCGTCTCATTTTTGTCTATAGAAGACTCGTAGGTCTTATTTCTGACATTCTTTCAAAAACAATCGGTTCATATCTTTTCAACTATTTATTCAAATCTTAAGTATACTTTGTTCCTTTTGAATTACTTCATTGATAAGAATGTTTTTAGTCGAAGTGAAATTTTCTAATATGGTATGACCTGTTAAATCTGATATGGTCTAAACTAGTCCAATATGATATGGTAGATATCTAATACTCCCTCTGTCCCGCTAACAATGGGACAAGAGAGAGTGACACACAAACTAATAAAAAGTGAGTTATGTGGTTGATATTGAATTGATAAAGTAAGAATAAAGTAAGAGTAATTTGGAGCCACACAAATTTTGTCTAATTTGGTATGGGAAAATCTTAGTGGGACGGAACGAAAAGGTAAAATGGGACAATTTTAGCGGGATGGAGGTAGTATATGCAGGGACGGATCCAGGATTTCTATTCAAGGGGGGCGAAATTTTTCGGTAGTGTAGGGGGTGAAAAAATATTCGTTTGTGTAGTGGGGCGAAATTTTTTCCCCTAGTGTAGCGGGGCGAATTTTTTCCGCTACTGTAGGGCTATGCGGCTAATTTTATTCAAAAAATGACATTAATACATACACAATCTATTAAGTTGTACATTCTAAGTTTAAATTAGACGATGACAAAGACATCAACCAATACATTTTTAATAACTTCTACATTGTTTAACCTCATGAATCGGTTATTATTGAATTGTAATTTTTGTCCGGCCACCAAGGAGGGTGTTCGTGAGTCATGACTCATGAGAAGTTCTCTTAATATTACAATAGTAGTATGTATGATATTATTATTTTTAGAATCGTATGCACCACATACACACACACATATATTGTGCATATTATATTTTAATATTTGTATTAATGCTATAATAATTTAAAGTTTATTATCTATGCAATAAATTATTTTTAGAAAGCAAGAAGTAAATGAATTATGTAATTTAATGTCAATAAACATTTATATTTTGGATTCATTTCACGTGATGTAAAAACTGTGTAATTAGTGTGTCTGATATTTAATATTGTTTGATATATTTTACAAAATCAAGTACTTGTTATCTAATAAAAATAATTAAACATTACAAAACTAGGAATTCTTATATAATAAGTATCCTAAATCGTAAACAACGAGTTATTCTATTGTTTATTTGTTTAAGTTATGTAATTATTTTAGATGTTCCTTCTTTTAAATTTTCAATTAAGTATTACATTATGTAACACTATATATTACTTTTGAAAATTAAATGCTAAGGGGGGCGAATCTAATTAAATTATGAAAGTTTTATGAAAATATTACATATATGGTAGAAAATTTTGAAAGTCCAAGGGGGGCGGTCGCCCCCTTGCGCCCCCCCTAAATCCATCCCTGAGTATATGTGTATTTTACAATTGTCAAAGTTTGATATAATCTAGTCCAGTTGGTTTATTTTTATCTAGTTTGTTAAAATCTGGTTTGATCTGATATGTTTTGGAATTGAAATAAATCCACATAAAACAAATTTTAACAAGATAATTCATTTGGGAATGAGAGTCTTATCGTATATAAAAAATACAATATAAGTGGAAATGTGGAATGCAATTCAATGTTTGGATGGAAAATGATCCCGTCGCAAGGAATTAACTGGAGTACTGGACCAATTCTGTTACCTTTCTTGTTTATACGTTGAAATGTCACCCTCCCCAACGGTGTAAGGCAAGTCCAACAAATTGGGACCTACAAAATAAGGACACTTCAAGATTGCACCATAACTTTCGGCCACATGATCTTGATCATGATGTACTCAATTGGATTTCCACCATAGCCATTATTATTAAATTTTGAGCTATTCAAGTACCAAAACATTTAGCTTATGGCCTGCCAACCCTATGCTAATCATAACGTTTTATTAAACCAAAAAAATAAACTAAAGGGCTAAGGCATTGCTCATAACCACATAAATTAAATGCATCACGTATACTGGCAATATCACTCATATTCTTTATCTTTAGGTAACACCTCTATCTCAGTATGCGATTCTAAAAAATATCCCAATTTCTTTAGAATAGTACGCTAACTTTTAAGAAGTTACCACCCCTTTAAGGATAAATTCCTAAAGTTGACTGCATGTAATTTGTTTTAGGGAATTCATGAAGTAATTTGAGACTTGTAAAAGATGGTGTATGAGTTATATTTTTTCCCCATTTTAAGTTATTAATTAATTAATTAGGCATTTTTAAAAGACACAATGTCTGGGAGCCTGGCAACTTCAAGTCTTCACTTGATCTAGTCTCATGTACAATATGTAAGAACAAAAGTACTTAATGCGCTCATAATGGTAGGAGCTGAGGTGATAATAAACTCTACCAGTTAGGTTGAGCAACTTCAATTCGATTCTTAAATATATAAACCTAACAGTAGAATTAGGTTGGTTGTAAAAGAAAAGACGGCAATTTAGAGAAGATGATGGAATGGTGTTAGCACTTATCAGTAGTATAATAAAGAGCAAAATGACTAGAAAAGGAAACAGTACATGGGACAAAAGGGAAGGCCCCATAGCTACTTCAACTGCCATCTTCAGGGTTTCCTTGGAGTAGCATTAAAGACTGTGATATCTCAATCTCCTTCTTCCTCTTTTGCTTCTCCTCTCTTAACTTCATCTCACTCTTTCACCATCCAAAACCGAACAGATTTGTATTACCCCCTTTTAAGCTCCTAAATCATAGAAAATGCTACATATTATATGGAACTCAAACTACTCACCAAAAGTTTAATGAGTTTTATACAAAATATTTTCAAGAACCAAGAACATGAAATGTCATGGCTCTCATATTCTCCATATGCTTCTCATCTTCACCATCACCGTGACACCCTTCACCACCCGCGGCATGAACACGGGTGCCTCATTAATCACCCCGTCCCCAGACTCAGGAGGAGATAGAAATGAGAATGGACACAAAATTCTTGAAAAGGTGAGAGCTTTGCTAGGAGTGGATATAAGCTTCTTCAAGTTAGAAGTCGTTGCGAACAATGCGGGTGAAGTTTCAGTCTCCTCGCCATTATCGCCCTCACCATCACCTTCTACCTCTCCGCCAACACGGAGGCGAGGGACCCACCGAAACTCACATTCCCCTCGGATTCCACAATCCCCACAGAGCAAAGTTAAGGAGAACAAGAAAAGGGATGGAGAAATAACAGTCAGTTCTAGAAGGGTTGTGACAGCAGTTATTGTGTCGGCGGCTGTGACATCTGCTTTTTGCACTATTGGTCTTTTGTGTGGATTCTTAAGGTTCAGGAAACATATGAAGAGAAAGAAAGATTATAACAATACACCCATCTCTACAAAGATCAATGAGGAGGAAGAAGAAGAAATAAATAAAGCTGGCCGGCAGGAGATTGTGGCTGTTCATACATCAGAAGAGGATGATGACGATGATGATGGTTCATCCGATGAAGAATCTTTCCATTCTGTATGCAACGAACATATTGACTCGGCTGAGATTATCTCCCCGGATGGGTCAAAGCTACCATCCAAAAAAGTGCCACCGCCTCCTCCTCCTCCTCCTCCGCCACCACCACCACCACCACGGTTGTCACAGCCTTTTAATGAAGCATCAGTTTTCTTGACGTCGCAACCTTTTCTTTCACGCAGGAGCTTGGATTCTTCGTGTGCTTCATACCGAGCGGCAGAAAACGAAATGCTGCGGGAACCTCCAACTGAGGCTAATTTTTTCTCAAAAGGTCCGCCACCACCACCGCCATCACAGCCGTTCTGTGGCACGCCATTTCTGGGAAAAGATGGGAATAAACTCCCAAAACTGAAACCTCTCCACTGGGACAAAGTAAGAGCTCCACCTAATCGTTCGACAGTATGGGACCAGCTCCAACCTAGCTCATTTGAGTAAGGTTTTCATCTCCAAATTAGTCAAATCTCTTTCATTTATTATAAGATATATAGTTCAATTTACTAAGGTAGTGTACCTAACATAGATTTGATTAGTCTAAGTCATTGTCTTTATTAAGACTTAAACTGAAGATGAGTGTATGTGTGTTCATACTACGACTCAGTATTTTTTACTCCATAACTTTTAATTGAGACAAGTCGAATGGCTAACATGCTTAACAGATACTACCTCCATCCCATGCAAAGGTTCTCCAATATTCACCGGTCAACGTAAAGTCTTCTTAATCTTTTACTTTATACATCCAACTTTTATCAAATTTGATTTTTTGTGACTTTATATCACTTTTAATGTAGTTTCTAAAATATGTAAATTTTATTTACTAAAAAAATGTAATTACAAACAGGGATCAATAAGCTTTATGGTCAGTCAAACATCGTAAACCGCATGGGAACTTTTCTACACGACGGAGTATGTATTACTAGTTTTGTTTGTTTATTAATTGTAATAATTCGAATTTTGCAAAACTTAAATATTGAATTTATTTTGGATTAAAAAATTGAGAATATTTTCTGTTATTTTTTTCTCAATTTAAAATTTCATAATATGGGTTTCTCCTAACTTTATTAATACAACAACATCCAGTCTTATTCCCAAAAGATTTTGGGGTCGGCTCTAACTATTATTAAAAGCTAATTAAATATATTAAGGATCAAACTTTCCTGTTTGTAAATGTAAAAATTAAACTCTTACCAACAAATGAGAATGGAAAACATACATGAGTGACTTATTGAATCTATAGATTGAGTCGGAGTAACACTGATTTGCTTAAAATGCATTAATTCAACTGGGAATTTCTTTAATTTATCTATGATGGCATGGAGCAGATTTGATGAGGAAAAGATGGAGTCGCTTTTCGGTTATGACAACCTACAAAACTTTATCAACGAGGATGCTAAAAGCAAATCTTCATCTCCGAGGAAACATGTTCTCGAGCCGAAGAGATTACAGAATATAACCATACTTTCAAAAGGTTTGAACGTCACTTCAGACCAAGTTTGTGAGGCTTTATTAAAAGGTAATAAGGGTACCATGGCCAGCCAAGATTTCCAATACATTCAAAACCAAAAAGATGCATTATTTACCTAGGGAAAAGTGGCTAATTATTTTCTCTTTTAATTTCCCTTATCAGGAAAGGGGCTTTCTCTGAGAGAATTGGAGGCATTGGCAAAAATGGTACCAAACAAGGAAGAAGAAGCCAAACTGAGAAGTTACAAAGGAAAAATAAATGAATTAGGATCAGGGGAGAAGTTTGTCAAGGCAATGTTAGGGGTGCCATTCGCTTTCGAGAGAGTTGAAGCCATGCTTTATCAAGAAACTTTCAGTGATGAAGTTCTTCATCTCCGAAAATCTTTCTCAACGCTTGAGGTAATATTTAAATACTCCGTATATAATACTCTGTCTATATCATACTTGGGTAGTTGGCTAGACATGATAAAAGAATTCACTGATATACTACCTCCATCCTGCGTGAATCTTAACGTTTCAGTTTACGATGTTTGGCTGATCAGAAAGCAAATCTGACAAATTTTGGATTACTGCTCATACTCCAAATTAACATATTCATAAGCTACACTACAAGTTATACTAAGTGGCAAAAACAGAATTCAAATATGATAAAATTTTGATATATAAAATTAGACCTTAAGATGAAGTTCAGTTGTCCCTTTGAATAACAGAATAATACCTGTAAAGATTCAAATGTGACGGAAAGAATAATTTTTAGAAAAGAAATTATACGTGAAATAAAGAGTTGTCCAGCGTGCACACGCCATGTTACACGTTTTTGTAGACACCTCGTAGTTGTTTGCATACAAACAGATTTTTACTGAAATAAAACCTTTTTGTGGGACTCTTGATCAGTTTTCTGTTTTGAGCCCCCTTACCTCACCCCAAATATATCAAGTCAGTCACCATTTTACCCATGTGAGTTTTAATGAGAAGACTCATCCATTTCATTCTAGGAGGCATGCAAGGAGCTGAGATCGAGCAGGCTCTTCCTAAAGTTACTGGAAGCAGTCCTAAAAACCGGAAACAGAATGAACGTAGGGACGACACGAGGCGGAGCAAGATCATTCAAACTAGATGCTCTCCTGAAGCTGGCTGATGTGAAAGGAACTGATGGCAAAACCACACTCCTCCATTTCGTCGTCCAGGAAATCATCCGCTCCGAAGGCCTCAAAGTCTCTCAGAGTATAATGGGAAAGATTGAACCCACTGACTACAGGAAGATGGGTCTGGATCTAGTCTCCAGCCTCAGTAATGAGCTCTGTAATGTGAAGAAGACTGCCACCAGCGTTGACATAGACGTGCTCGCTAATTCTGTCCTTAACCTTTCCGTCGGATTGGAAAACATAAAGAGGCTCTTGAATAAGGACTTGGTAGGTGTGGAGGAAAAAGATGGCATCTTTCTGCAGTCTATGGGGTTGTTCTTGAGTAATGCAGAGAGGCTGTTGAAGGACTTGAAAGAAGATGAGGAGAGGGTGCTGTTGAGGGTGAGGGAGATCAGGGAGTATTTCCATGGAGATGTGAGGGGAGATGAATCAAGCCCCTTGAGGATTTTCATGATTGTCAGAGATTTCTTGGGTATGTTAGATCATGTTTGTAAAGAGCTTAGAAACTCAAAACCTTCAACTGCTCATCCTAACCCTTTATTATTATCTCCATTCAGGTAGTGCCTGATGTAGTTAGTTTGGGCTGGTTTTGTCAATAATTTATTCCTTTTTTTATGTGTCGGTTGTGTATATTTATATTAATCAGGTGATGTTTATTAACACTAAATTAAAGATGTTTTCATTTAAACCCAAAGTTTGTTTTCTAGTATTATTTGGTTGTTGTACCAAGCTTCCCCAAAAATAGTGCAAGCAAAAAAGACCGCACTAGAGATAAAACCGTGCTCATTCTAAAAAATTTTTAGTCCCGTGAAAGTAAATGTTGTAACAAACACCTATGGAGTTCAAAAAAATAAGACCATATGACCATGCATCTCAAAGGTATATATGCTCGGGATGATAGGCTCAAAGAAATATAGTACATCCAATAGAGCAATTCTTATGAGAATAATGTGTAAAAAATAAAGTGAAGGTGCACTCGATGTGTATAGCGTATACTATCAGTGGCGTGGGACAAAAAGTGATGTTCTATGCTATTCAATTTACATAAAGGATTCATTGAGTGAGACACACTTTTTTACATGAAATGGGAATTGAACATAAGAGCTCATATGCAATTGAATGGTGCATAAGAAAAAAACACTAAGATGTGTACATGACCTCGCCATTAAGAATGAATATACACGAACTCAATAACTCAAAATAGAACCATGAAGCCGGGATGTAGTAGAAGCTAACCATCATGTAAAAAACAGAATATGATCATTAAAACACAAAGACAAGCTTGGGGTGCCCCAACCAAAAGGTATACAATTGTTCAAACATTAGGGTGTCCCCGGAGAAGTAATAAATATGACAAAAAAACCAATAGGTATGCATCAATTCTTGATCAGACTTCCCAAACCTGATGCTAAAAATGTTACAGCTTCACACATATTCTTAGTAAAGTGTAACAGGTCTCTTCAAAATTTTACTCTTCTATACTTTCTAATAACAAATCCAGATCGTCTTTCTCTATGACAAATGTGCTACAGGCAAAATAAAAGGGGATTTAAAATTAAATGACATTGTCTTATCATCAAGCAGTGTGTCAAAAAGTGATTCACTAGAGGGCATTTTGCAAGTGTTTTCATAAACTAGAGACTATATTATCCAAAAAGTACAGTGTATTTTTGCAAGGATAACATTGTCATCCAAAACATGTCAAAGACTTGTTTATTGCCTACTCGGCTACTCCTAACACTAGTTTGTCCACCCAGCACATATGTGAGACCCATAAGCCACCAATAGTGTATTAGTGTTACTAATGCCCCAAACTTTTGGTCCATATAAAAAACAAAATAAACTAACTACAAAAAATGAATTTGTCAACTTTAGCTAACACACTTCCAATGATCCCAAGAAAATATTTTGGGAAAAGTACAGAAAAGGTACCTGTGGTTGGGCCCGCTTTCAGATAGGGTCATGTGTTTCATTTTTTTTATCAAAGCGGTTCATGTCAATCATGTGTTTGAGCTCCATTATCACAAGAGGGTCACACCATTAAAAACGCTTGAGGAAGACGATGAACACTAACTCCAATTTTCAAAAGTGTCTGGAAAATTAAAAGAAAATTATCGGAAGGTACGCCTCGTCAAGATGACCTCCAAACCAGCTTTGCCTTTGGACTTTTCGGATTTTTTAAAATGATCGCTAATATCACTTTTCTTGTGGACTTTCCAGTGACAAGGATGGCTGGAAACGAAAAAGAAAGATGGTCTAGTGGTACTTTTGATTTTTCTTTTGATTTTTCGGGCACTTTTGAAAATCGGAGTTATTGTTAATCGTCTTTCTCTGGCGATTTCTAATGGTGTCAAGCGCCATGACCCTCTTGTGATAACAGAGTTCAAACACATGGACCACTTTGATAACAAATGAAACACATGATCCTATCTGAAAACGGATCCAACCACGGGTACATTTTCCGTACTTTTCCCAAATATTTTATCAAGATATCAATAAAAGACACATTAGTCGGTCAATGACCCGACTTGATTCTGTATATGTTCCATATAATTTTCTCTAACCTTTGGTTACATAGATATAGTAATTATAATAAAATCCCCATATTATTTTCTCTAACCTTGAGTTAAATAGATATAGTAATTATAATTAAATGAATATAGCATTCATACACTTACTAATCAAAACTTAAATGGTATTACTATAAGTCACCATGAATGTTCCTAAATCTTAATCAAATTTTGTTGACAATCATGTGCAATGCTTGCATATAGGAAAGAGTAGGGTTGGGCATATCAATTTCAGTTTGGTTATTTGTGATTTAGTTTGAAACGGATTAGAAGAAAGATTATCAAACAACAATCACACATAGTACGATTTTTGGATTTTATTCGGTTCCAGTTAGTTCGATTTGATTTAGTTGGTATTTGTTATTTGTAATTTTATATATATAGGGAACTCTTCCCGACGTGCGGCCTCCACGTTTTGAGGGCCTTCCCGGTGGAATTTTTCGATGAAATTTTTTGAGCATGTTCTTCATCAAGTCTAGTACATCCATACCAAATTTCAGCAAAAAAATCAATCGGGAAGGCAGCCAAATGATTTTTGGAAGATAATTGCACCCTTTATATACATATAAAACGCAGTTATCTTTCAAAAATCGTTTGACTGCCTTCCCGATTGAATTTTTTGCTGAAATTTGGTATGGATATACTAGACTTGATGAAGAACATGCTCAAAAAATTTCATCGAAAAATTCCACTGGGAAGACCCTCAAAACGTGGAGGCCGCACGGCGGCTCCGGTAAGGTATACCTTACCGGAAGTTTTTCCACACACATATATATATAAGGATTTTATCAAATTTTGTAGTCGATTCTATTTATTTATTTTTTTCTCGATTTCGATACGGTACTCAATTTAGAAGAAATTCTCCTAAAATCAAACCAAATAACATATGATCGAGTTTTTACTCGATTTAGGCGGATTCAATACGATTGGGGAAAATGTCAAATAATTCTAGTACTTTCTCAAAAAATCAAATTAGGAGCAATGGCTTCCTTGGTATCAAATTCTACACCGCGAGGATGGAAACTTAAGCAGAAAATGTAGGCTACAACGAATCAGAAGGTATAGGCAACGGCCGTGGAAACTGAACCAGAAGAAATCGGCTGGGGATATATACACAGACGTTTCCCTTTCTGCTCAGATGCTCCACTCTCAATCAGATTTAATTTATGCAGTAAGGTAGACATAGTTTTCAAATCCAGTAAATATAACATTAGTTTCTCACTTTCTGATGTGTAAACCAATAAACTTGCGGCTAACAATTTCCAGTAACAAAAAAAGGAAGAAAGAGAATAAAGAGGGGAGAAAACAGAGAAGTTACCTAGGCGGCGACTGCCTGGTGGATCTGCCTGGCACGGGGGGAGGGCCGCCAAACTTTTAATATGGATTAATTAAAAGCCAACATCGAACAATTTCCTACTTCTTCCACTCACCATTATCCTTTCCTCATTGCCACATGACGCAACTGTTGCCAGCTACGAGCAGGGAGACTCAAACAACGGAGAAATAGAGGGCTTAGCACGCCTTGAAGAGACTTGAACTAGTGTAATGTTGACCGGGTATGAAATTCAAAGGTCTCGGTCACCGCCGGAATGGATACGCGCAAGCTCCGGCAGTGAGAGCTGCTAGAAGAGAAAGGTGCGGAGTTGGAGGCGTAGCTAAGTTGAATGGAGTCCTTTTCCGGCAGACTAGTCGGGTTTAATGTAGTCTGATTTTTAAAAAATGCTTAAAACCCCTCCAAGAAAAAATTTAATTGTCAATTAAATCGAAAATAATTAGTATTTTTGTACTTCATATAATTTAGCAATCTTGACAAATTTACTTGCATATTTATTCATAATATGAAGTATTAAGATAAGTGATTTAAAAATTGTTGATTTTATTTTTGAAGGGGTTTTTGTGCATGAATAAACATAACACATGGGGTTTGACACATTTTTTAAATCATAGGGGCAAATGTATCAATTTTCTAAATCACATGGGAGTTTGGTGCATTAAACACAAAATTTACGAGTATAAAACAATATGGACTTTTTCCCCAAAATAATGTTAAATAATTTTTTTATATCAAAATAAGGTTAGTTTAAAAGTATTTCCAAAAATACTACTCCCTAAACCCTAGTAAGAGAGTTTCACTTCCTTTATTCGTATAATATAATTTGAAATAACTCGATCTTTCTAGAACACGTTCGAGACAAATAGCAATCATTCAAAGAACCTTTTTTACAGGATTAAATCGTATGGATATGTAAAATACAACATTTCCCATCCTATCATAGCAGGAAAAAGAGGGAAACGGATACAAGTGACGGCTTATACAAAATAAGTAATGCACGAACAAGCACACAAGAAGAGAACATGATACAACTTTTTTATTTTTACTTCGATTTTGAATATATCGAAGTACAAATATATAAAAAATAAAAAAATAATTTAACACTTTCAAAATTTCTTTTTTTGTAAATGTTGTATCTTTTTTAGTTGTACTCCGATTGTTACAAAAAATATATCAAAAGTCATAACTTTTTCTTATCTTTCATAAGACCCTATATTGAATATATACAATAAAAAAATTAATTCTATTAATTTATGCAGCTTATAATAGATTTTTATCGTGCAAACAATAAATCATGAGTGATAGCTTGTGATAAAACTACACAAACTCCATCACTTTTAATTATTATTTTATTTTATGTGCAGTTTTATTATAAACTATTACTTCTGATTAATTATGTGCACAGTAAAATACAATCATAAACTGTTTAAATTAACGGGTCGGGTCGGTTCGAGTTCTCGATTCTTTTTTTGTAAAAAAAAAATCGGCTATGCCATCAATATTTTTGGTAAGTTATAAAATTCTCAAACTAATTAAGTATTAAAATAAAACCATAATATAATAAACTCCAAATAAAAATATAAAAGAACATTTTAATTTAGTTAAGAATATATCTTACAACAAATGTATAAATTGAACACCACATAACCACTTAAGTTAAAATTTTAATCGCTATTCATAAACTAAAGACATAGCACTATAAAGTCACAAAAAAATAAACTAGTTACTATACATATTTGTCTAATAAAATAATTTAAAACTTATTAAATATTAAAATATAAATAAAGGTAAGATAATAAAACGAATATGTCACACTTCATTAAGTAAGAGTCTTTGTTTACAAAAAAAAATATTAAACAAAAGTTTGATGCATTCCGAATAAAGAATTGAGGAAAATAATTTAGGAGTGGACTTAGAAACTCTTTTTAATAGACTACAAATTTCTTTAATTAAAAGTCTTTGTCTAGAAACAAGAACATGAAGAGCTCTCGTGTGTTGTTAGTATATTATACTCTGTATTAAATATAATAGAATTTATTAAAAATATATATTTAATAGAGTAGTTCACTATTGAGGAACCCTAGCGGCCGTCTCTCCTCTTTGTAGGGGTTGAGATTTTCCGATGCCCCTATCACTATGGGGTTGGAGCGGGAGTTTATACTGAGTTTCAGTGTTCTAACTTTTGTGATTGCAAATACGTCGGAGAAGATGGTGTCGGCAGATGAACGAGGTGCAACTGGAAGGTTGTATCGAGGCGGGATCGTGAAGTCTTGGTCGGTCATTCCGACGGTGGTGGAGTTGGTATTCACCCATATCATAAGAGCTCGTCCTCCTTCGAAACCACCTTCATACTAGGAAGAGCTTTGTGGAAAGATTTTATTTCAATATAATTTTCTCTTATGTATCACTTGTTTTTGTTGTAGTCTGAGTTGATTTGGTTTGAATGTTTGGATTTTTAAAGTTCTTTTGATAGGCAGGGTTTCAGTTCAGGTTGTTTTAGGCCCATTGTCCGTTTCAGGTTTAGTGAGTCATGTTGCTTTGTATGAGGTGGCTGTCTCTAAGTCTACTCCTAGGGTTCACGATTGGGTCTATGAATTTTGTCTGAACGTTTTCTTGTATGTGTTCTCGATTTTAATATAACGACCGCTCTTTTACGATAAAACAATTAAAACGATTCTGTCCAGGTACACATTGTTTCAAAATTTAAGACTCTTTCGGTTCCTAAGTTTTAAGGCCCTGCCCCGCCCTGAATCATTTGCGTTTTCTAAAATTTGGATTCGACCCTAACCCGCGCCAAACCTGTATTACCCGGCCCGATCCGCAGTTCATGTACCCGTTTGCCCACCCCTAACTGATTCTGTTGAAATTTATGAAATTGTGGTTGAATTGATTGGATTTGATTGATTCTACTGATACATGAAAATATTATATTTAAAATATATTTTATTAATAAAATTAAGAAAAAATCATGTGAAAACAGCTATTATTTCACAACCAGAAAAGTAACTTCAACCTTACTTTTTCTTATTATTTCACAATTGAGAGCGGGAAATCAAAACTTACGTGTTTGGTGAAAAAAATTGGATGACAAGCCTGATAAATCGAAAAAGATGATCACCAAACGAGCTCATATGTCCACAACAGAATATCATTAGAATAGTACTCAAAAACTTGAGCTTGTTGTTTACTACTCCGTAAGTGCATACATGATCTGCATTCTGCAATAGTACGTGTGATATATCAAAATTGAATATTCCGTACTATTTTTCATCCTCTAATAAAATACGAGTAAAATGACGAGACTTTTCATCCTCTATAAATTTTAGATTTTACATAATTTACTACTCCGTATTATTTAACACAAATAATGTTGCATCTGTATTAAGTAATGTGCCAGTAATCTTCAACTGAAACACTCAAAGGTTGAGCTTGTCCACTATTTCCACTTCCTTCTTGTGACCAAGAAACAACCTCTTCCGCCGCCCCGCCGCCCCATGTGTTATTCTCTCCTCCTCTTTGGTTGCCGGCGTCCGGTGGCAGATTATTCAGCCGTAGCTGAGCGTCGACAGCCATGCCCGCATTGGAGGCGGCGGTTTGCACCGACGCCGGCGACATCCCCGGTCCAACTCCGGCGGGTAGCGTCAGCGTTGGGAAGTTGAGCTTGTCCGCTGCCGTGGTTTCTCTAAGGCAAACAAAGGCAACGTCGTGGGCCACCGCAGCCGCCTCCGGAGTGGCGTAGGTGCCCAACCAAAGGCGGTCTTGGGTCCCGGGGACCCGAATCTCCGACACCCATTTCCCCCATTTCCGGCGACGAACGCCTCTGAATTTGATATTGGACTCTCCAAAACCGCTCATTGTATGTAATGCATGTATGTTAGTTACTTTGCATGGAAGAAATGATATTTATAGGTTGAATATGAAAAAGTCAAGAGGGATAGCTAGGTTCAAAGTTCAAACATTTAAATGATTTGAAAAATATGTGGATATAAATTATTAAAATAAAGTAAAAGCTTTGACGTTGAAAAAAGAGCAAAAGATTGCTTTATTGGTCAAAATCTATTAAATTGTTTCCAAAATTCGGATCGCTAGCTTTAGGCCATTTTCCATTTGACTTGTTGCTATGTAAACAACACTGCATACCCACGGTTGGACCGACTCAAAAATCAGCGAGTGAGTCAGTAAGATATCAGACCGGTTAATGGAAAAGGACATATTCAAAACCGAATATTTGCCAACCATTTTTTCAAATGTGTATTCAACAAAAAACATTTGCAAAAGTGGCTTAGACATTTTTAGTCTTTTGATTACTTTCGCACACAAAAAGCTCTAGCTTCTAGTTTCTCATCTTTAAAAAGACCTTAAAAGATTCTAGTTGTATGTTTGGCATGACATTTTTAAGAGCTTTTAAAAAATTAAAAGATCTTTTTTGAGATGCTACCGGGTGTAGCATTTGAGAAAAGCTCGTGACTTTAGTATTAATTAGTCCTAATAGCTTGTATACCAAATTGAATCAAATCAAACAGTCAGTTTTTTACCAAACAACTATCACCTTTTTCTTTTTAAGATCTTTTCCGTCACTAAAAGCTAACTGTTACTAAAAAGCTCATAAGAGTATCTTTTTAACTAGTTGTGTCAAACATACCCGCGTAAAACATAAACATCCATACACCTTTAACGCTTTATAATCAAGTAAAATACCAATTAAAATTTCATATGGTGATTTATGTTGATGTAGAGCGAAGGTGTACTCTCATTCTCTCAATGAGATAAGTAATTGCAGTATTGCACTAAGAACACATTCTTCTCAAAAAGAGATATACAAATTTTCGTGGAACCGGAGTGCCCAATTGAAGCGATATTAAGAATATATGGTGGTAGGGGCGGATCCAGGAAATTCATTTTGGGACTTCAAAATATTTTTTGGGGGGTGGAAATTATTTTTTGAGGGAGTGAAAATTATGTTTCGTATATATATACACTAAAAAAATTGTTGAGGGGACAATAGCTCCCTGAGTCTCTATTACGGTCCACCCCTTGTATGATGGTGTTTGTGTCCTACTTGTCCATTTTATTGAGAAGTGCCTCACTGCCCTTTTTTATGGAAAAGAATTATGTATCGTCACTTTGGGGTCATGGAAAGTTTACTATAAAGTTGCCGATCTATCATGGTCACGTACAAATGACATGAATATATGATAAACTTCATTTTTATCCACCAATATATATATACCCATATGACTCCACAAAAATCATGAAACATTCAGAAAATTTCTAGCACCATTAGACGAGGGAGTATTATGTGACCCCCCAAATATCACAATGAATGCGTTGAAATATTGGGATAGTTTTATGGCTAAAGGGTCAAATAGGCCCATGCACCGGCCGTGTATGCTCAATTCAGTCCTTGAACTAAAAAAGGTTCAATTCGCACCCCGAACCGACAAAAAATGGCTCAAATTTCATTTTTTACGGGTAAACTATCAGTCATTTTTTTAATTTTTTCATTGTTTCTGTTTTTTAATTTCGATTTATAAGGGTGTGAATTTGACCTCTTTTACTAGTTGTTTACCTGTAAAAAAAATGAATTTTGAACCCTTTTTGCCGGTTCAGGGTGCAAATTAGACTTTCTTTTTAGTTCAGGAACTAAATGGGATTTACATGACCAGTACAAGGGCCTATTTGACCCTTTAAACTAATTTTATTAGAGAAAGGATCTCTAGTTTGTTTGACCTTATGACATAGGTACTACGTACAAATTAAAGTACTGCATATTGCATAAGGTGTAGACAAACGTTATTTATCATTGATATACGCAGTAGAAGACTATCCTTCACTAATTGTAAAAGCTTGAACCAAATGTCACTTCATCCTTGCCAAAATAATAAGGTCCATTTGGACGTCCACTCAATCCAATTAGCTTCCTCGATTGGTGGTCTTGTATTAGCATAAATGAACAAAGAAAATATTTGATCAATAAATTGACAAACCGAAAGTAAGGGAGCGTCTACATAGATACACAAAATGTTTTTGAGCTTTTGGTTTAAAAATTTGAAATGAATGCATGCTTTTGGTTTAACGGAAAATTTTGTTTAAATTAAACACTTAAATGCTAAATGCTGAAAGCATGTGCGAAGGTGTTTTAAATTGTTGTTCACATTTTCTATTATACAAAGCGAAATTTTTTTATCCAATAATACCAACTTTTACCTTTTCAAAAACATTGTTCACAAACACTACCAATTTTACTAGTAAGAATTCCCTTGAAACTCACTTTTTTTTTAATTTTTAAAATCCAAGGGTTTATTTGTGGTTATTAAATATTTGGTTGATTGAATACTTTAAAACTAAATACAGTGAATTTTGTTATTGTACAAGGTTAGATTAAATTTGATGGATATAGCATATAATTGGATATATTTTGGTATATGGTATATACATCGCTGTCAATACGGTGGAATGCTCTAAAATGTGAAACTAGTCATATATACAAAATGCTCCACCTAACGTTCAATTTTTTTCCTTGGTATATTACATTGAATGACTCCATATATAACTAAAATTCCAAAAGTTAAACATAAAGGCTTTACTAAACTTTATGATAAAGCTAGGATAGTTTACTAAACTTTAGTTCTGAATTCGATTATGGTTAAGAATCAGAGAGAATTCCCAATACGGGAGTAAAACACAGAAAGTATACCAAAATAGGAGTCCTATGGCTCACTTAATTTTCACATGGGAGTTACCGTTTTTAAAAGTTAAAAGAAGCTGACCGTTTTTTACCCTTAATGAATACGGAGTAACTGATTTCTCTATTACTGATTAATATTATTATCAAAAAAAAATTACAATACAAACTTTACAGAGATGTGCGCAACAACTAACATCACAGACGATACCGCCAGCCACCAAAATTAAAATCATTCATCGTTAAAATATAAATCAACGTCGCAGGTCGCAGCCCCTGAAACACTGTTTTTGGCCCCTACATATTTAATGGTTGTTGTCGGACACTGTATCCGAATCACCGTCGCAGGCCATCTAGTCCGGCATGGTCGTTGCCGCCCACCTCATATATCACAAAAACCGTGTCTTCTGGCACTGCCGCCTTCTCCTCTGGTGAGATTGTTGTAGATCTATGTCCTGCACATAGAACTACAGTGGAATGTCATCTTACCAATTCAATGATATCTTAACATTAATTGCCAAAATCTCAATTTCCATAATGAAAACATGGTAATATAACTGATGTAGTGGAACTAAATATCAAAATGGCACCATCCTTGTAATGGCACAAATTGCCAAACTATGATATTTTTTTGAATGAAAACGTGACATTACAAGTTAAAAGATCTAATATTTCCATCTTGAGATTGACATTAATTTTTGAATAAAAATTTCAAGATTGAAAAGGATAGGAAATATTTTAATTTAATTTTTGAATAAAAATTTTTAGATTGAAAATGATAAGAAATATTTTAATTCAACATTTGAATTAAAATCTTCAGTCCTATCTAAGGGTAGTTATAAAAAAAACTTACATGAGTTGACAAAGATAGAAAAAAAATTATATTAAAAAATGGCATTATTACTAATGTATTTGTCATCATGATAGCACTAATTGTCAAAATAATATTTTTACACGGAAAATGACATAAAAATAAGTATTTGGCATATTGTATTAAAATAAGTATTATTTTAATTTTATCACCAGAAAAAATACATTAACATAGTAAATTCAGATATAAATCAGAAAAATAATGTAAAAAGTTACAAAATAATGATGGAATGAATGTTAAAAATTACTAGTATATTGTATATTGTAAAAGGTAAGATAAAAAGCTAAAAGAAAAAAAGCTAAAAAAGTTGAAACACGAAATAGAGAAGCAAAATAGAGAAGAAATAACAAAAATTGGATAAAAACAGATCAGAAGAAACTTGAAGGAAAAATCAAAGCCCTACATTTATAGCAAATATCTTCAATTTTTAGATCTCACTTGGTATAAATCCAAGAGAAAACAACATTTTCATCGATTCATATCTATCTGGGTTGGGTTAAAATAGAACCAACAACATATATTGTCTTTACTCAAATTCCAAAAAAAAAGAGTTTTCATATATAGCTTCGTTGATTGAGGAAGAAGGGAGAAAAAGGAGCAGAAGAAAGGAGGAGGAGGAGGAGGAGGAGGAGGACTTACCTGCTGTCACCGCCGTCGCTGGCCGCCGCTGCCGGTGGCTGGAGATGGGATGGAGAAATTAGAGATCTGATATATGGGATGGAGAAATGGGTAAAGTCTACGAGGGAAGAGAGAAGAGATAAGAATTGAAAAAACAGAGTGCACCGGAGAAGTCTGACAGAAAGAGATTAAATCACAAGTGGGTAAAATTAATTTAGGTGAGTCGGTTGTGTTGAGTTTAATCCAACACGATATAGTAAATATATGTATGAACACTCAGTTTTTACGTGGAAACCCGAAAGGGAGAAAACCACGGGACTTTTTAGGCTAATGTCCAAGCCCTCTCAATTCTCATTAGGCTCTCCTCACAATTACATTGTACAAGCTCCCATTAATGGAGTATTGAGCTAAGTCTAAAAGAAGGAGGAAGATGAAGCTAAAAGAGGATCCTTTACATGGAGGGAAAACCTCCTATAAATAGGGAAAGGGGTGAGGGAAGTACTCCACCCTAATGGGCCAAACGGGCCGATGTCGGGCCCAATGGCCAAAGTGGGCCAGAATGGGCCGAAATGGACCTAGCTGCTCGGGCTCCGTACTGAATAATGTCTTGGGCTCCTGAACAGTAATAGGCCGGGATAATATATCCCAACACAAGTCCCCCAGTTTCTTGAGTAGTGAGCGTGCGAATCTGCTCGAGAAAATATATTCTTGCCT